AGATGGTGGCTAATATTGCCTTGTATCTATCTTTCTCTCTTGGCATTATTGTCTTATTAGATACATTCACCAAGTCCTTTTGACTTTTAGGATAATCTTAGTATCCATTGCCCATTTTAAATAATTATCTCCTAAGAGATTTAGGGCAGTAAAATACAAGTTGTAATTCAACATCTACAAGGAAAAGTTTTGAGTCAAAATCATGTAATCGTTAGTGTCATGCGGTATTTGAGACCGAACCATGAATCGATTTACTTAGGGATTTGACTTTCCTCTTTTGCTTAGGAATATATTTCCTCTTTTAATTAGGATTAACTTTTCCTTTTCCTTTTAGTATTTACTTTCCTCTTTACTCTAGGATTAATTTTCTTATTTCTAAATATTTCCTAATTTGATTAGGGTTTCTTATTATTCCTAGGATTTAGGGTTTTAAAGATTTCCTATTATCTAGGGTTTCCTATTTTATTTCGGGTTTTAGGATTAGACAATAAAACTTCTCTAGCAACTTAGGCGATTTTAGCATAAGCAATAATCAACTTTTCTAGCAACCTAAACGAGACAAACAATCGGATCTTACAAGCAATAGGAATTACTTAATCATTCAAGGTTCGTTTTAAAGTTTCCACCGTTCGTTAGATTCAAATTCATGATCGGTTTTCAATAGCAATCACTTGAACAATCAAGACTCGTTTTAGTGTCTTAGCCGTTTGTTAATTTCAAGTTCATGATCGGTTTTCACAAGCAAAAACAATCGTTTATACAATCAAGATTCGTTTTAGGTTTCCACCGTTTGTTAGGTTCAAATTCGAGTTGGGTTCTTTAGCTTTAGGGTTTGTTGTTTTACCTTTCACCTTTGGGGTTGTATGGACTAGAACCGGGAGCTAAAGACCTCGGTTATCAACTTGTCACGAGCGTATGGTCCTTGGAAGGAATCGCCGAGCAAAGGAGAAAGCAAACGGACGGACGAGCTAGGGTTTTCAAAACAAATCGGCGCACACTGTATCTGTGCGTGAGGGCGCGTCGGTGGTTAGATCGACAAGCCGTTTGCACTGATGGATTCGTCTCGGCGAGGGCTTCGATTTGATATCTTGCTCGTTTTCTGGGTCCTCACGATTTGAGAGAACGACCTCTTTGAATTTCCGAGGCAGATTTCTTTGCGTTTTAGGGGTTTGATGAAGATAGAGAGATCGTGAGATTAGGGTTTATGTGTCAGATCTTTAGCTAAGGGATTTAGAGGCTATCGTGCTGATAACGTGTTGTGAACTTGTTGTTCTTATTGATTAATGAATGAGGTTTCAATACATATATATACATGACAAGGGGAGACAAATCCCCATTGGGCTTGTAAACCCTAAAGCCCAAAAGCCCACTAAGTATAATATAGACCGTCATAAGGAGAATCTTCTAGAACATACAATGGGCCTTCTAGAACATGGACATGGGCCTTGTAGAATATGGATTAGGCCCAACGGTTATGGAGTCCATCCGACCATGCGGTCTATAACAGTTTTCTTTTAAATGAATTTCGCTTTAATGAATACTAGTGATTATTTGAGTTTCGACTGACTTTTTTCATACATATATTGTTTTAAGAAATAATATGAATTATAAGTTTTTTTTTCTCTAAAAATTTGGCCCGAAAAGCCCAGAAAAACCATGTAACCCTATTAGGGCCGGACCGAGCTTTAAAATATAAACTCAGAATTTATACGGGCCGGGCCGAACTCAAATATATGCAGGATTTTGCATGATTTAGGTGGGCTGGGCCGAATTTGCTCGATTGGCATGCCTAATAATTTTCCACATTTATGCTTTTAATTTTAAATCTATCTTTTGGAAAAAAATCTAATAATAAATACATAGATATCGAAACAATGATTCTAAATATATAAGTATTCAATACCTATTTTAAGTGATGATTTATCTAATTTGTTTTAAAACATAAATGAAAAATGTTGTTAAAAATAGAAAAAAATCATGATATATTTTCAAATAAGGGCCACATGCTTATGAATTTTCCTTTCGCCTCTAATATATGGATCTTCTCTGTGTATATATTTAAAATGTAAATTCTTTCTAGGAGACATTATTAGCTCATAACAATACATAAGCAAAGAAAAACAAAAGAGGGAAGAAACTTGCAAGAAAATATGAAGTTTGATGCAATCTTCTTGGTTACTTGTGTCTTATTCTCTCTTTTCCCAAGCCACCTTTCACAAGGTCTTCTAATCATTCTAGTTACCATTTTACTCATCGAAATTCTGTTGACCTAAACTAGTTTGATTTAACTCTTTTTGTTGTTGTTGATGAATCCTGTGAAGAATCAAGCATGAATGTTGTGTGGAGGAGGCCGTGGTGTCCGTCGAAACAACAAGTGTTTGGTGGTGATTGTGAAACCGTTGGAGCACATCATTGTCTAGATCTCTTATTAGAAACTTCAGATCCAAGTATAAGGCCCAACCCAGTCTCCTGCAAGTGCCTTCCTTACCCTAACAACAATATTCTCTGTAGTTGTCCTAATATTATTTGCCCATAGAAAATATCTATATAAGACCCCAAACTGTTGTTCTAAATTATTTTTCTATGTATCAAGAATAATGTTTCAGTTTCTAATGAAAAGCCCAAAGATGTTATACTTAACTCGTTACAAAGAATTACTCGTTTCAGTTTTGCACCAAATGAAGATCAATGGCTCTTAGGCCCATCTTCAAATGTGGGCTGTCAAAGCCTAATAAGAGTTCGAAAGCTTAAATCAGTGATTGGTAAACATGCAGAGTTACATAATCTATTTTTCTTATTTCATTTTCTATGTGTGAGCACATAGTTCTCCAATTGAGTTTTAGGGTTCTAAGCAGTGTTTTCACGCCCGACCCGAACCGTCCGGTCTGACCGGTTAACCCATGATCCGGACACTTTTCCGGTTTGGGTTTAATGCTAATATCCGCCATTTTAAGAACCGAAAAAACCCACAAAAACCCGCTATTAACCCGTGACCCAGTGAAGCGGTTGAACCGACTAGGTATGGGTTTTAAAATATCATTTGATTTTCAAATAAAATATAGAGTTTTAGACTCTATTCAGTCATTTTGAAAAAAAAATTAGATTTTAGACTCATTTGTTGTTTTCAAATTTTTAATGAATCTTCACAGTGCCGTCTAAGAAGAATGAATGGAATGGTGAGAGAAATAACCGAGATTAGCTTTTTTGAATTTGCGATGTTTTATTAGTTTATTTCTGTCATTCGCGATCTCATACTATTTTAATATTTGTTACGGTTTTAGACTTTTAAGCTGGATTTAAAAAATTTATTTGAATCACTTTATTATTATTGTTAGACTTCATATTTTGTAATATATTAAGAATATTTTTATTTTTATATTTATAAAAACTAAATCATCTCTATAAATATTAAATAAAATTTTAATCAATTAACCCGTGGTCGAACCCGGTTAACCCAGTGACCCGATGACCCAGAAGGTAGTCCGGTTCACTATTTGGGTTGGGTTTAAAAACACTGGTTCTAAGTAAAAAAGTCAATGAATTAGTGAATTGATTGTCATTAGGAATTCTCCATCTCCAGGTTCTTTGATTTACATTCTCTTAATGTTCGAATAAGATTGATCATCATGTTTTAGATGATAAGTTTTTCTATGCATAAAAAATGTTCGATAGAATGCATGAACAATTGTAAAATGTTCAATGTATTTCTAACCAATGAGAGTTGATGTTAAAAGGTATTGTGAACCAAACAAACCTGTTTGATAATGCGGATTTGACTTGAAAATTACAAATAAGAGTTTAATAATCGAGTAGTAAAATTTAGTGGCTAACATTTTGAAAGAGAATTAGCCTAAACTTGTGTTAAGATTCTAGAATGGTTCTTTATTGTTGAATTCCGTATTATGTGTATTCCGCTAATCATCGTTCTTTGAAATATCTTATAGCCCAATGTCTTTAATTCATAAGTTAAATCGATTATTTACTTTGCAATTTTATTTACAAATTTAAAAACCAAAAAAACAAACTTCAGAGCTTTAGCTAAGAACGAGTCTCACAAATCTTTAGTGTACTATTGGTTTTTGTGGATCGACCTCATATATACTACTTTACTGTTAAGTGTATTGAGTAATTACTCAAGCAATCAATATAAGAAAGAGAATATGAAAAAGAAAAATCTAGAGCCTTAGAAGATAATAGAGAAAAATCTATTATATAATTGAAAAACATAAATAGAAGCTTGAAAACATCGTTAAAACAACCACAAAAAGAAGTCGAACTATAATTAACAGGAAATTAATAATAGTTACCATTGTTTTATATTTTTATACGTACTAAACATTTATAAATATTATTCAGAAGTTGCATACCTATATATTTGATAAAAAAATTTCGTAATTTGAATTTTGTTGATATTTTTTTTTATGAGAAAATTTAATATGTTTCATAATAATGTGAGTATATATGTGGAATATTGAAAATGTTTTATTTTTTATATATTAATATATAAAAATGAGTTGTTAGAATGTGAATGAGTATATGTAAAAAAATAAAGATTATGTCCAATTCACTTCTCTGTCAATAATTTGCTCATTTTTCCTTTCTAATAGTCCATATTAGTTTTCAATATTTAATATGATGATATATTAAGGACTCATATATTTCACTAAGTTTGTATAAAGTTTATTTAATATGATGATATCCCACATTTATGCTTTAATTGGAAATCTATCTTTTTGAAAAATCTAATAATAAATACATAAATATATATAAACAATAATTTTAAACATATAAGTAATTAAAACCTATTTTAAGTGATGATCTCTCTAATTTAGGTTTCTTAAAACATAAATATAATAAATGAAAATGTTGTTCAAAATAGAACAGAAATCATGATATATTTTCAAATAAAGGGCCACTTTTTGATAAATTTTCCTTAGCCCCTCTAATATGTTGGATCTGCTCTGTGTATATATGTATAGTATAAGTTCTTTTTTGGAGACAATCACAAGCTCATAACAACACATAAGCAAAGAAAAACAAAAGAGAGAAGAAACTTGCAAGAAAATATGAAATTTGCTGCAATCTTCTTAGTTAATTGTGTCTTATTCTCCCTTCTCTCAAGCCACCTTTCACAAGGTCTTCTAATCATTCTACTAAAGTTATCATTTTGCTCATCGAAATTCGGTTGACCTAAACCAGTTTGATTTAACTTTTTTGTTGTTGTTGATGATGAATTAGGTGAAGAATCAAGCATAAATATTGATGCGCAGAGAAGGCCATGGTGTCCGTCTAAAAAACAGGTGTTCAGTGGTTCGTGTGGAAATGATGGAGCACAACAATGTCTAAATAACTTATTAAGTACATGGGATCCAAGTGTAAGGCTCAGCCCAATCTCCTGCAATTGCACTCCTCAACCTAACAATAATATTCTTTGTAGTTGTCCTAACATGATTTGCCCATAGAAAACGTCTATTTAAGACCCAAACTGATGTTCTAAATCCTTTTTCTCTGTATCAAGAATAACGTTTCAGTTTCTAATGAAAACCCCGAAGACTTGATCTTAGTATAATTGTGGAAACAGGTTGTTAGTTTTGGGATATTAGGATGTATTTGTGTGCAATTTTCAAGTACTTCTTGTCATCATTTAGGAACAACAAATTTGATTGCTAATTCGGCTTTCTCTTGCGTTCAAAAATCGTCCAAAATGGCCGTAATTCAACCTAGTCAACCTGAATAAAAAATTCTCTTGTTATTTCGGGGAGGGTGAATCCTTTTATTCATCCCTCTTACTCTAACCAATCAAAATATGTCATCTAATATATATATATATATATATATATATAAACTCATTTCATTGTAATATCTAAACACTAACCAGTTTTTTATAAACCTAAATTGACATATAATCTCGTTTAATTACAAAATCTAAACTCTAATTCTCCTTTATAAACTCAAACCGACATATAATCTCATTTAATTACAAAATCTAAATTCTAATCCTCTTTTATAAACTCAAACCGACATTTAGCTTCGTATAATTACAAAATCTAAACCACTACCGTTTTTTATAAATCCAAACCGACATTTCACCTCTTTAAATTATAAAATTTAACCCCGTTTATAACCCAAACCGATATTTAACCTAGTTTAATTATAAAATCTAAACCCTAACTCTCTTTTATAAATCCAAACTGATATATAATCTCGTTTTGGAGGTAGATTAGATTTTAAAACCAAATAAATTTAGTTTTTTTATTAAGTGGTAAATTCTTATTGGTTAGTAAAGAGGGAGTGAATAAAAAGATTCACCCTAGAGGTGAACCCAAATATTTTCTGTAAAACATCATGTTTTGTGGACTATGGAATACAAATACTCTAATAGGGCTAAAGCCCACCGATGGCCCGGCCTAACTCTTGAAAAATAGCGGGTTCAGAGTTAAATATATATGTCCATTGAAAATCGGGACTTTCGGACTAAATCCATTAGTGTTAAACGGTTTTTAGGATTTAGCCCGACTGGGCTTGGGCCAGGCCGAAAAGCCTTTAAAATATATTTTGACTTTTTGTTTGTTAATATTTTAGTTTAATTGGAAAATTTGTTTATGGATTTATTAATAGAGTTAAAAATCCTAAACCTAGCTAGTTTTCTAATTGTGCCTTATAAGCACTTGGTTGGATGAATTTACATTTGAAGATCCCCGTAGTAATGTCATTCTTCTTTATTTAATACTTTTTTTTTTTTGACAACTTTGGATCGACAAGGGCCGATCCATAACCAATCCCTACTACGCGGGGTAACGCGACTTACTGGAGTCGAACTCCGGTGGAGAAGGCGGAGTCAAGTGGACTTAACCACTTGACTAAAAGCACATCCCTTTATTTAATATTTTAACATCTTTATTTATGAAATTTTATATTATGATAAAATCCAAAATCTTTAAATTTGATATGCATAGATCTTGATGACGAAAAGAATTTATAAGGTATTCAAGCCGAGGAAGATTTAGAAGGCATTGAAAAAGATTCAAATCTTGGCTCTACTGCCTAGTTTGAATTCATTTGATTTATATTTAATTGGTATCAGTTATTATTTATTTAGTTTTAAATTTATTTATTATAAATAAAATTGGCTTTAATGAATTCTCGTGGTTATTTAAGTTACGATTGACTTGTTTCAGACATAGATGTTTTTTTAAAAAGATATTATAAAATATGCCAGAAAAAACCATGTAACCTTGTTAGGGCCAAACTGTGCTTTAAAATATAGGATCCAAATTTACGCGTTGGACCAGACTCAAATATATGCAAGGTTTTTCGGGCTTTGGTCGGGCCTGGCCGAGTTATCCCGATTGACATTCCTAGTAACTTCCCACATTTTGCTTCTAATTTTAAATCTATCGTTTGGAAAAAAATCTAATAATAATCTCATCGGAAATGTTTGATGCTTCTTGGGGCTACTTTTTGTATGACTTCTCTTTTGCCTCAGTTGATTCTAAATACAGAAGTAATCAATACCTATTTTAAATGATGATTTCTCTAATTTTGGTTTTTTAAAACATTAATCTAATAAATGAAAATGTTGTTAAAAATAGAAAACAATCGTGATATATTAACAAATAAGGGCCACATTTTAATGAATTTCCTTAGGTATGCCTCTAATATGTTGGATCTGCTCTATGTATATATGTAAAATGTAAGTTCTTTCTTGGAGAAAATCACAAGCTCATAACAACACGTAAGCAAAGAAAAACAAAAGAGAGAAGAAACTTGCAAGAAAACATGAAGTTTGTTGCAATCTTCTTAGTTACTTGTGTCTTCTTCTCCCTTTTCCCAAGCCACCTTTCACAAGGTCTTCTAATCATTCTAATAAAGTTACCATTTTGCTCATCGAAATTCGGTTGACCTAAACTAGTTTGATTTTAACTCTTTTTGTTGTTGTTGATGAATTAGGTGAAGAATCAAGCATAAACATTGCTGCGCAGAAAAGGTCATGGTGTCCGGATAAAAGACAAGTGTTTGATGGTATTTGTGAAAAGGATGGAGCAAAACAATGTCTAGATCTCTTATTAAGTTCTTGGGATCCAAGTGTAAGACTCAGCCCAGTCTCCTGCACTTGCTCTGATTTTCCTTACTACAATATTCTTTGTAGTTGTCTTAATATGAAATGTCCCTAGAAAACGTCTATATAAGACTCCCAACTGTTGTTATAATTCATTTTTCTATGTATCAAGAATAATGTTTCGGCTAATTTCTAATGAAAAGCCCAAAGATGATAATACTTAATTCGTTACAAAGAATTACAATATCCTACATGCACCACATTCATGAATCATGATATATATATATATATATTTTTAATTCTCATCAAACAAAACCGCAACGAATACACCACAATTCTTTGGTAAGCTTATCTCCATTAGCAATTCACATTTTCTTGGAATGGAAGAACAATAAACCTTTGGGTCTTATTTTATTAAGGGCCCTTTAGGCCCATCATCGAAGGTGGGTTTCAAAGCCTAAACATTTCTTCAAGTATTCCAAGGCTTAAAATCACTAATTGGTAAACATGCAGAGTTACAGAATCCTGTTAAATGAAATAATGTATAGAACAGTATGACGAATGCATCCACAACTGAAAGATAGTGGAGATGACATAGTGATATATTTGATTTGGTCATCAGATTTGTAAAATCCTACGTAATCCTATAACCATTATAGGAATCACCAACTAGACTGTATTATGATTATCCATTATCGTCCAATTTTTCTCAATATTTGTGCACCCCTAAAAAATATCTATCTGCATAGTTGTAAACAGAAAATAATCTTTGAACTGATATCAAATTAAGCCAGACAACTTTTTCATCGGGTCAAGACAAAACATCACGCAGGTGAAAGCGACCTAGAGCCTCCGCAGATACCACTTTATAGCTCAGTGCATTTTGCTTTTGCTATTGTTCAGAACGTGGTCCAATGAGACTACATTTCCACTTATACATCTATTATTATGTTTCTTGATTAATATATTATGCATATAAGAAAGTGAAGACTTTAGACAAAAGTAAGAAATTGAAGAAAGATGGGTAGATGAAGTTAACTAACATGTGTAGAAAATGAGCCACTGATATTATTGAAAATATACAAAGCAACTAATCCACTTATTGAAAAGCTTGTTTTAGGATAGAGAGATTATATACATTCTAATATATAGGACTACCCAAAACAGCAAAACTCATGATACAAAATCATATACATTCCAATGTATATGTCAATATTTTAAATGTTAGTGCTTGTTTGGGGACAATCACATAATCATAACAATTATAATATATAAAAGAACAAAGAAAAAACAAAGAGAGAAGAAACTTACAGAAAAACATATGAAGTTGGCTGCAATCTTCTTGGCTTCCTCTGTCTTATTCTCCTTTCTTCCAATCCACCTTTCACAAGGTCTTCTTATCATTCTACTGAGATTACAGTTTTGCTCATCGATCTCCGGTTAACCAAAAACTCTTCTTTTCGTTGATGGATTAGGTGAAGCTGCTGGGGAGAAAAGGCAGTGGTGCCCGTCAAAACAACAAGTGTTCAGAGGTTCATGCTCAGACGATGGAGGACAAAAATGTCTAAATGACTTATTATGGACATGGAATCCAAGTGTAAGGCTCAGCCCTATCTACTGTGATTGCACTCCTAAACGTCATAACAAACGTCTCTGCGATTGTCCTAGTATGATTTGCCTCTAAAAAACGTCTATTTAAGACCCTAAACTGTTGTTCTATCTTCTATGTATCATTAATAATGTTTCAATTTCCGAATATAATATACTCCATCTCAAAATAAGTTTTGTTTTCGGTACCAGTGTGTTGTCCTTATGTAGTTTCCTTGCATCATAGCGTTTTTTCTTCTACTCAAGAACTCGAGTTGGCTGACGGAGGATGTTGCCGCGCTAGATAGGGGACTTCAGAAACTATCCCAGAAATATCTTCACCTATAGTCACTGTGTTTCCAATTGAAGCTGCTTGTTTCTTGATGTAGCCTAACCCGAAATGACCAGACCCTTCTCGTCCCCTAGTGTAGCTCGTTAGCTTCCCGACCTGAAAATAGAGTTTATAAACTAGTTAAGGAATGTAAAACAAAATTTGGCTTGTTTCTTTGTTTCCGAGCGACTAAGGTATGCACACAAGCGCTCAAAACCTTTTTCCCGTCGACAATGATGGGGCTGCCGGGTTCCGCTGGTGCAGAGAGATTAAGTCCACATAACCATTGCTTGATTCCATCATATGTCATTAGTCTTGCTATCGTCTCCTGTCCCTTATAACATCCTGAGATGATTGAAGATTGTTTACTCTAGGTGTTTCTTGTATCGTTTTAGTTCACTGAACAAAAGCTTCTCAAATACCTTTGTTCAGAGAAATCGAGTTCCATAGACCCGCCTCCAAAACATTATATTCCTTGCTGAGTTCTCTCTCAGGTGCTGGTCTTCCTGCAAAACATCAATGCTTTTGGCCTGAGAAACATATCATTTTGTCTGCTTATTCACTAAATCAATGGTTCTGTAAGATCTAACAATTCTGATTTCGCTAATGGCAAGTAAAAGATTTAAGAGCATACTTATGAGCCTTTTGCCTATATTACGT